CTATTCAAACACAATTAGAGTTTGCGTGCTTTAGAAATGCACCGAGTAATTATGCTTGTTCACAGAGTCATTATCATGATTTCCTCTGCTCTAAATTACCATCACAAGCTTACATTTAGTTGTAACAAACACAGCCAAACATTGTCTCTACTTCCTGTTATCTTGATGCACCTTAGATGAGATGGCTGGGTAGCTCAGTGAAATAGGGAGTTCAGTTTCCCACTCTGCATTCGAGAAGAGTCAGCCTGTGTGGCCGTGTGCAAGCTGCACAGTTTCAGAATGTCTCCAGAAGAAGGGAATGGTAACCCACTTCTGACTAATCCAAACGTAGAAAACCATGGAGTCCCCATACCTCAGAATTAACTTGATGGCACATTTTATTATTAGTTTTAGATGGAGCGGAAGCTAGGTTAGTCCAAGTGTCTGGAAAGCCCACTAACGCCCTGCCCAGATGTCCTCATATTCTTTGCCTTCCTTCAGAGGCCAATTTTACCTTTCTAAGTGCAGAAATAAGGCACAGAGCTCCAGGTGCTAGCTAAGCTGTTTTTGTGTGCTATTCAAAGACCACCAGGTTGGAAGACAGAGGAATGGAAGAAAAAAGAAGAAGACACTTGGACACAATCTGGTAAAGCTATCCCAGCAGAAACCGATTAGCTTCCAAATTGTTTTTGCTTCTCCTGCACCTTCTTGGGTTTGGGAAGGCAAGAAGAGTGTGAATGGACTGCAGCCACAGTTTTCTACATTCTTAATCCTTCTATAATGATGTTTCCCTACCTTTGAGTTGTGACTCCCTTTTACAACAACCAAGTAACCTGAGAGATCACCCCCCCCCAAATATGCACAAAAGGCATTTTAATGGGGTAACCCCCCATTAATAATAGATTTTTCAGAATATAATTCTATCATAATATTTAATATGATGGTTGTACTTGCATCTAGGCAACTAGCGTCAAATTTTGTAGCTGAGTGTTTGTTAAAGCGACACACACCCCAGTCCTTTAATGGCCTCCAGGATGTGGATATAATGGGGCCAGAGAAGTCTGTAACTCGAAAAGTCTGTAAGTCGAGCCGTCTGTAAGTCGCGGGTCCACTGTAACCTGAGAGATCACCCCCCAGATATGCACAAAAAGGCATTTTAATGGGGTAACCCCCCATTAATAATAGATTTTTCAGAATATAATTCTATCATAATATTTAATATGATGGTTGTACTTGCATCTAGGCAACTAGCGTCAAATTTTGTAGCTAAAGCGACACACACCCCAGTCCCTTAATGGCCTCCAGGATGTGGATATAATGGTAAAGGTAAAGGTTCCCCTTGACATTTAGTCCAGTCATGTTCGACTCTAGGGGGTGGTGCTTATCCCCGTTTCCAAGCTGTAGCGCCAGTGTTTGTCCAAAGACAGTTTCCGTGGTCATGTGGCCAGTGTGACTAGACATGGAACGCCATTACCTTCCCACCGAGGTCTACTTGCATTTGCATGCTTTCGAACTGCTACGTTGGCAGGAGCTGGGACAAGTGATGGGAGCTCCATTGTGTGGGTTTGATCTTACGACTGCTGGTCTTCTGACCTTGCAGCACAGAGGCTTCTGCGGTTTAACCCACAGCACCACCATGTCCCTGGATATAATGAGGATGAGTTAAAACTGGGCAGGTTTTATTGAGAGAGAGAGAGAGAGAGAGAGAGTTTTCTTTCGGAAAGGGATTGTCACCGTTTTCCTTCTCAATGGTCCTCCCTAAGATGACAGCAGCAGCATGGGACTGAAGTGAAGAAGGGTCAGTATCACTTCAGCTGTGACAGCAGCCTTTTCTTCCTGCACCATTTCTGGCCTGGCTCAGAGAGGCTGTAGCTGGGACCCAGCTCCCACTACACCCCATCCCAGCTCCACATCTGTGCCAGCCAGCCACCCACCCAGAGCCAAGGAGGATGAGCCGCCGCCAGAGGACAGCATGCAGCCAGGGAACCCCAAGTACCCCAGTGTGAGAAGCAAAGAGAGCTTGGCTCTGGGATGAGCCAATGAGGGAGGGGCAGGAGGCATGCAGAAGGGAGCAGGTGGAGTGAGTTGAGTATGATGTGTTCTCCTCCAAAAATTGCAGCAAACCTCCAGAAAATATTTTGTGACCTCCTGTGGGAGTTATGACCCATAGGTTGGGAACCTGTGTTTTATAGCTTTGGATCTGAAACAACCCACACCACATATTAACAGCTTTTATGAGTTGTATATTCTAGCAATAATCAATCTAGCTGCTGTTATTAGATTAGTTATCAGTTCTTTAGTCATTTCATCATATTCTTAAACCTCGCGGACCAGCTGGGGAAGGCAGGACACCCCCGCGCTCGTGCACATGCGCGAAGGAGCAGACGCTCTCTTTCTCATGTGCATGCACAAAGGAGTGGGAGGGTGTTCATGCAGTCCAGCATGCTCATGCGCGAAGGAGCAGGAGTGTGCTCGTGTGGACACACACATGCTCATGCGTGTAGGGCAGCACTGTGCTTGGGGGCACTCATGTGCATGCACGAAGGGGTGGGGGAGCGCTTGCGCAGGCACAGGCAAGCATGCGCAAGTGGGCTGTGCAGGGGGAGCGCGTGCGGGGGTGGAGGGAGGTCTGTCTTCATGGCCTAGTCCAGCTCAGGCCACAGACCAGGGGTTGGGGACTTCTGTTCTAGAGGATGGATATTTCTCTTCTTTTTCTTTATTACCCCACTGACATCCAGTGTTGGATACAAGACTCCACTTTTTGCTTCCACAAATTTCTGTTCTGCTCTGTTCTAATCCATGCCAACGGGACTTTTACTATCCATCAACCTAGTTTGCAATCTTCCCCTACTCTTTCTTCTGATCCAAGGTTGCCACTGATGCATTCCTTTATTCCATCTACATGTCTCATGGCATGGTCTGCCCACCTCTATTTGAATTATGCTACCGTGTTACCCCAAAAATAAGACAGGGTCTTTTTGCTCCAAAAACCACATTAGGCCTTATTTTCAGGGGATGTTTTATTATTTTCATGTACAACCAACTTTTGCTCCAAAAACCACATTAGGCCTTATTTTCAGGGGATGTTTTATTATTTTCATGTACAACAAACTACATTTATTCAAATGCAGTCATGGCATATTCTGGGTGCTGCACAATGGTGGAGGATGGTGTTTCCCTTAATTAGGGCTTATTTTTGGGGTAAGGCTTATATTACGGGCATCCTGAAAAATCCTACTAGGGCTTATTTTCAGGTTAGGTCTTATTTTTGGGGAAACAGGGTATTTGTTCTTTTAGATCTATTATTTTGTCTCATGTCAAATATCCTGGTTTCTTTATCCATTAATCTGACATTTGGAACCAGTCTTTCCATTGCTCTTTGTTAGAGTCCAGATCTATGCAGCGGTAGTGACAAAACACATTGATTGTAAATGAATTTTCTTGATTTTAGATTTTTTGTGTTTTAAAGGATTTTACTTCATTTACCAAAAGCTAACCATACCCTGAGTGCTTACTGGAAGGACAGATCCTGAAGCTGAGGCTCCAATACTTTGGCCATCTGATGAGAATAGAAGACTCTCTGGAAAAGACCTTGGTGTTGGGAAAGAGTGAAGGCAAGAGGAGAAGTGGACGACAGAGAATGAGATGGTTGGACAATGCCATCGAAGCTACCAAAATGAATTTGACCCAACTCCAGGAGGCAGTAGAAGACAGGAGGGCCTGGTGTGCTCTGGTCCATGGGCTCACAAAGAGTTGGACACAACTTAACAACAACAAACCATACAATTCTTATTTGTTTCTCCACTTTTGCTCTCTGATTAGAAGTTTGGCATTTCTTTGCCTATCTTTTACCTATAAAATGTCAAAAACTGATACATTTTAAAACATTTGTTTAGAAAATTGACAGGAGAGAGGTATTTCTCTTTCCCCCCCCCATAACTTCTACTATCACCTTTCAAGAGCAGATTTCACAGAAGACTCAGCCATATGAGTGGTTGCTTCAAACCGATATTTCATAGTACAAAACTGGATTGACCAAAGATATATTAAAATGCAATTTGTTTTACCTATGACAAAGCATTTGCAGCAGAACTGTCTTGCTGTATCCATGCTTAAATTCAAGTCAGTTATGAGAACCCAAGGTTTTACTGGAAGATTGGGGCTGTTGACAAAACTGAGTCATTGTAAGAGACTAGCTGAATTACTGTGGCACTGGATTTCCTGAGAATCTAAGACAGGATGTTGTTTATCATGTCTTTTCATCAAGCAATCTCTAATTTTCTGAAGTGCAACCAATTTTGGAGATATTGAAAGCACTGTGACTTTTTATAGATATGGGCAATCTGAAGGACGATTTTTCAATCAGCACCAGCACCAGCGGCAGTTTTCCCATGAAGGGTAAGCAGCTGATGGGCTAGGCCAAGTAATTTTCTTTGGGACCCTAGTATAAGGTAGAAAGGAAGGAGCCCAACCTCACTCTCCAGATGCCCCGGGGTCGAAGGGCTCCTGCACTGGGCAGGTGAACAGAGATCACGCCTGTCCCATATTTTCTCGTTCCCGTCTCCAGCGAGGTATTGGGAGTCGATTATCATCCACTGTCTGCAGGCACCAGCCTTAGCACTCCGGCGATTGAGGCTTGCTTCGCTTGTAAATATTTCGAGAATTTCCTCACAGATTAGCTCCTTTTTTGGAGTACACGAACTAGAAAGCGCCGCCGTTGTTGAAACGGGCGAATTCCCCTCTTTTTCCACTCGGCCACACGCCACCCCGGGGGCTCTTTCCGGCAACTCTCCTGTCCTTCTGACGACCTAAAGGCACGACTTCTGGTCCGTTTCTTAACCCCTATTCCCCACCTGATGTTTTTTTTCCAATCTGTTTCCTCATTGGAGAGGAAAAAAATAAAAAAAAAATTGCCCCCCCCCCCCGGCACCGCCACCCGGCATAGTACTAGAGACCTCCTCTCGATCGGAAGGGCACGTTCGCCCGGCCGCCTCCCTACCCCCCGCCTCGCAGTCACTCACCGACCTCGGGTTCAGACCGAAGAAACTTTGCTCCGCCGCGAAGCCCGCCAGAGGCTGCGAGCGGATCCCCGAGCAGGAGGAGCGCGAGCCGACGAAGCCCGCTCCCTCGTGCCCGCCAAGCCGGAGAGGGAGCCACTGGTTGCCGCTGGTGTTCACACCCACCAGCGGCGGAGGGAAAGAGGCGGGAATCCTCCCAGAGAGACGCACACACGGCCCGACCGGTCCTCCCAGCTCCCTGGTCGTGACGCCTGGAAGTTTCTTCTCGGCAGCCGGCAAAGGGAGCACCTCAGAGAGGGACACCCGGCTGAGCGCCTCGTGGGGGGGGGGAGAGCAGGAGAGCCCGGCTTTCGGTCGCGGGGCTGTGCCGGTCCTGAGCTCTTCCGACGGTTCTCGCTCAGACCGCGTCGCCTTCACTTCACTTCGCTTGAGGAGAGACAGTGCAGCGGGCTCCTCTCAGCCGACTGCCGGCAGCGACCGTCTCGGAATGAGGACGCGGCGCCTTTCTTTACCAGCCGCCCTGGCTATCACTTTCCCTCCTCGCCCACGCTCGCTCGTGGGCTCGTTTCGACCGGTCCTCTCCTTGCCCAACAACCCCTCCTCGCGGGGATCGTACTTCCATCTCATTCTTCCCCCCGCCCGCGCGCGCTTTCCTTGCGCACCTCGCCCCTCTCCACGTCCTCGCCCTCCGTTTGTTAGCAACCGGTGCACGAAGAGCCCCAGGAGGCTGAGCGCCCCTTGGCCTTAGGGAACCAAATCTATGTTCGTAAACCCCCTCTACACACACATTTATGCATGCTCATGCTCACTCCAGAGACTTCTTCCGAAAAGGCCAAGTAACCATGGCACGTCAATTTGACAGGGATTTGTTTTAAATAATCGGATGGATGCAACAAAGAGGGTCACGTCTTCCCAGTAGAGAAGAAAGGGGCGGGAGGTTGGTTTTAAAACGGTTTAGTTTAGAGCAAAACGGATCAGGGAGGTAGGGAGAGCAGGCTGGAAAAGAGATGCTGGTGAGAAAGCACAAAGGACTTTGGGGGTCGGATTCATTGGACTTGTTGGAAAGTGTTTCCAGTTCTCTCTCAGGATGGTTGAGACAACATTAGAAACTGCAGAACAGCTTCCTGAAAAAGAAGTTTGCTATGTGTTATTATCAAAGATCAATTCATAAAAAAAACCTAGACCTTTAGAACGACCATTTTCAAGGAGGGGCTTTTTGGCGCCCTGGGGGCCCCTGGCACATTTGAAATGGGGGCACAGACTGGGAAGAATTCTTCTCACACTACCTTATAAGGTTTCTTATGCAATTTGTTCAATCTTGATTTGACTTATATTTCTTTCATGGCCATAATCCACAAAGGTTGAGAATGGCTGATTTAGAACAACCATGTTATTTGTGGTGGAAACCAGGACCACATATTCCCAGATAATATTGATTTGACTTATATTAATATTTTGCTTCTATCCAGAAGCAGGGTTTCATCACAGCGAGGTTTTGGGAGAGCTCCTGAAACTGACCAGGACCCCTCGGTTTCAAGTCCCCCGATGTAGGGAGGAAAAGTACAGTCTGTGAGGAAAAGCTGAAGCAGCAGAGTCGACAGAAAGGGGAGAGAAGTTCGCGGAAGCTGCTCCCCCCCCCCCAAAGTCTTATATGAGAGAGCGGGTGGAAGAAGGAACACCCCTTGCAGAGAGCAGAGGAGTACAGAAAGATTTTGGAAAATATTCTGACCAGGACTCTTAAGTCAAGATACGTGTTTTATATACAGAAACTTTTCTGGACCTAATACAATGATACAGAAGAAAGCTGGACTTAATGAGTCAGTGAAAGTGGATTAGATCCTATAATTCTTCAAGGTGTGGTAGAAGTGAGCCTCCCCCCCCATCCCTCAGCCTCAATCAGAAAAAAAAGGAGGAGGAAGAGGGAGAAGGGGAGAAAGTTTTTTTTGTGAATAAATTGTTTTAATTCAAAGGTAAAGACTCACTCCCACGGGACAGTTTAATCATAAACTGTCCAAGTATAATGCTGATGGATGAAACTAGAATCAGAGAACAGAACTCCGGAACTTCTGAACATAGGAAGAGTTTTAGATTGTTGTCACAATCCAAGATATCCCAGGCATCTTCTCACCGGGGGCAAGGGCACCAGGACCCAGTCCGCCACAAGTCCAAAAGCACTCCCTGCACAGTTGGTCGTGACCAAGCAGAGGCAGGAGAACAAGGCTGAGAACACGGAACAAGAATAAGGTGCCGAGATGCAGGAAGTAAGCAGAGGTCGGAACAGGGGCCAAGGCAGGAACAGAAGCAGGTATATCCCAGGCATCTTCTCACCGGGGGCAAGGGCACCAGGACCCAGTCCGCCACAAGTCCAAAAGCACTCCCTGCACAGTTGGTCGTGACCAAGCAGAGGCAGGAGAACAAGGCTGAGAACACGGAACAAGAATAAGGTGCCGAGATGCAGGAAGTAAGCAGAGGTCGGAACAGGGGCCAAGGCAGGAACAGAAGCAGGTGCAGGAACAGCGCAGCGGGGACAAGAATAAGGTGCCGAGATGCAGAAAGTAAGCAGAGGTCAGAACAGAGGCCAAGGCAGGAACAGAAGCAGGTGTAGGAACAGTGGAGTCAAGATGCAGAGATCTAGGTGCCAAGCAGAGGCAAGAGCAGGGACCAAGGCAGGAGCAGTAATGGATGCAGGAATACTGGACCTCAGTGACTCTGGCGCTCAGGAGCAGCGAGGCAGTCAGCACTCAAAGATCTTTGTTGCTGAGGCAAGTTCTGGGAGGGAGAACTACTCCTTCAATAGGCCTTCCCTCCAGATTTTCAGGTGAGCCTCATGAGTGGCTCAGCAGCTGCTACACAGACCAGGGCCTGAGTCTGCAAACAACAGGCCATTCCTGGAACAGGCTGGCGCCATTCCTGCAGCTGCCAGGGCAGTGTGGGCGAGATCCTGACAATTGTGTAACATCATCGGATCAGAGGCACCTCTGTTTCCTTTGGAACTGAGGTGGAAGCAACCCTCCCTCCTGTAGCCTGGAGCAGCTTTGATTGGAGGGGGAGAGGAAAGGAGAAAGACATTAAATGAAAGAAACTAAAGAAGACAAAGCCCCACTCCCTGGTTATCTACCCCTAACTACTGAGGCTGGGGAGAAGGATTGAACTGCTGATATTTGCCTCAAGGCACTGTCTGTTCCTTTAAACACTCATTGTTTTGACTTGTGGACTGGGAACATTTTAATGAGAGACAAGTGCTAATCTATGTTTTGGATGGGCTACCTAAACAGTGTTGTATGAAAGAAATGTAAGGCAACAGTGACACCTGCTTGAAAAAAACAACCCAAACAGCATCTTAAAAAAATGTTTTTGGAAGTATGGCAGCAAAGGGAGGAAAAGAAAAAAACCCAAGAGGCTCACCTGAGCAAGAACAAAGTCTGAATAAATTGTTGTAGCAAGAGACACTTAAGGATTGGAAACAGACCCAACTAAAAACCTGGATGGTTAAGCAGGCCTTTCCTCCAGTCAATACTTGCTAAAAACCTGGATGGTTAAGCAGACCTTTCCTCCAGTCAATACTTAATTTCTTTTATCTTCACTTATTCTTTGTTACTTTCCCATCTTGAAGAATTTGTCTACTGTTTATTTTTATTGTATATTGTTTTATATTGATTTACTTTTCTTATTTTGGTATATGTACATGTTTTTTATATTGCCTGGAAGCCGCCTAGAGTGGTCGCAATGCCCAGATAGGCAGGGTATAAATAAAATAAATAAATAAACTATGTTATCCACATGATTACAGCAGATACAAGGAGAAATGGCTCATCTATTTTAACAAATCAAAGATTTAGGGATGCAACTGACTGATATTAAACAACGACTTAAAGAAAATAATGTACTTGGAAAAAAATTACCTCTGTTATCCTTAATGTTTTAATTTCATTGACAATAAAATTATGTCAATTAAGCCATAAATATCCACCACTAACCACTCACTTGATTTACAAAGAATATTTTATTTCATTTAACAGTATTTTTACCCCGAATTAAATGCATTATGAAACAAATTAAATGAAATGTAATAAATTAGACAAATTTTATTCAGTCATTCAAATTATCTACTGAATTAATCAACATCATGTTTAAAGTTTTAGAAGGGGTAGCCATGTTAGTCTAGGCTAGCACCTCAGGCAAAAGCAAAACAAAAATAAAAAATAAAGAAGATAAAAAATCTGGCATCTTGAAGACGAACTACTATATTTTGTGAGCTTTCATGGACAAGTCCACTTCTTCAGATTTCTCTCATTGCTAACCTGTTGCTCCACTGCACTGTTTCCATACATTGCATGGTTTTGTAAAAACCCAAACGTCCTGGCCCCGCAGTGTGTGCTGCCACGAGATAAATGAGCGAAGGGAGACACACTAAGTACAGTATCTGCCTCTCTGCAGGCCTGGCTCTTTTCCATGCATCATGGTACCAAAGCATGGTGGGAAGGGCAGTGTCTGAGTTTGCCAACTTCAGAACATGCTTGGATTCCAAGGTTCTCACCCAGGAACCTCTTAGGTCTGGTCCAGACCCCTGGTGCCTCTGGACCAAGAAGGGGACTAGATTTTAAAAAGAGGGACATCTGGCCAAAATCCAGCCCAATGGGCACATGAATTCCAAGGGGCTCCTGGAAGGCAGGCACTTCATGACAGGACTGGTGCTAAGTAGCAGAATTTTTAGCACTCTGGGAACCTGCTTCGTAATCTCTTCTGCGGTGCCTTGGCTCTGAAACTATCTCACAGCTAATCACAGAAGAGATTTCTTCACAGCTCACCACATAAGAAAACAGAGAGCTTTCTTTCCTGCTTCCACCACTACTATCATAACCACCACCTCCGACTTGAACTCTGTTCAAGTTACCTTAGGCCTGAGTATAAAACATTACTGACCTGGGTATGCTGGCCCTACTTGCTGCTACCTGTACTACTGCTAATGGGAAAATGGAAGAGTAAGTGGGAGCACGAAATGAAGCCATTCCTTAGGCTTGCCCACCCTACAAAGTGAAAGGCAGAATCCCCAATCAGTTGTTACTGAAATGTGTGGAAACCGAATGCACTAACTCTGCCCCTCCATCATTGCTTTCATCACAGAAAGAGAGAGAGAGAGAGAGAGAGAGAGAATGAAATACAAGGACAGGAACAAATCCTACTAACTCAGGGATTCATCTTTTCACT